CCCACGCCTCGGGATAATGTGTACTTCCTTGGGGTGGAGGCGCCAAGCCCGTCGCGAGCGTCGTCCTACTCGCGAATGGCGTGAGCGTTGCCGTACGTGCAATGCTGTCTCGCCTCCTGTGTTTTTTTGGTACTCACGGAAGCACAATAGTTCATGACGTTTATACTCACGACAGTGGCTGCTCCTCGTCTCTACAGTCATCAGCTGGATAGCACAATCTGCTACTATCAGCCTCATAAGCGTGTGTTCTACCATCATGCCTCAGGTATTATCACCACTGGCGGTCTACGTAGTCCCCTCGCGATGGCAGCTGGGCATGGCGCTGTATATGATTGGCTCCATCAGCTACGGTGAAACGCTAATCTTCTACACCTCCGCACTTTGCACGCAATACGGCCCATGCGGGGGCCATTCGTACGAAGTATGAGGCGGGGAAACTGTCGAAGGAGGAGCATAATGTGGAGGAGAGCATGAGAAGAATAGGATCAGTGAGTGCCGTGCCGTGCAGCCCAACAAATCCTCGGTGCCTGACGAGGTGAGGTGCGGACACACACAGTAATATTGGATCCATCGCGACGCTGTGCATCAACCTCTCCGTCCTCATACCGCTGAAGGGTAATCCCAGAGCCACAACTATGTGCTTCTCTTGTACGTGCATCTGCCCACTTCGCCCTACCCTCGGTTTCAACCTTTTCTTTTGGGCAGGACCAACGCATACTGGGTCCTCACATGACCCAGTCCCCCACCTCTTTATCTAACCTCCCTCGCACGCTTACATAGTTATCTTCCAACAGCCCCGGGCGGGTCCTCCGCTTCCGAAGGGCGAGCATTATTTGACTATCGGGTAGAAACAGGTATGTAGCATTTGCCGTACTAATACCCATCACGGTCCCTCCAATTAACCCTCTGCGCAGATCTGGCTCGGCCTAAAAAGGAGCTCTCCCCTACACCTTCATATACCTCTTCGTGTTCTTCCTCGCCGAGGTTGCCTCACGACGGGCGTTGTAGTTCACGGCGACGAATTTCGTGACGGTGTTGATTCCCCTGTGGGGCATGGTTGGGATTTGGACAACCAAGGTCGGGTGCGTAGTGCCCTTGCCTGTATCGGTTCGAATTCTTTGCTGATTTGGGATCAGGTTCCATAATATATGGGAGTCCTGGTAGGCCTCCTTTGTACATATCCAGTGGCACTAGGCTCATAAAGAGCACAGGGCATACAACGTCATCTCCGGCTTCTTCCGACAAGCTCCCTATTTCATCTTGTCACAAACGAAGATGGCGGAGCTCGCCCCGCCCGTCGACAACATGGTTTGTGCCCCCTCCCTCTTCATCCTTACCTCCACCCTCATTCTTTACTCCCTTAGTTTGTCGGACTCTTCGGCCTCTCGAACCGCGCCTCCATGGTTGGCGCGAACGTGGTATAGGCCATCATCGCAAGGTCAGGGAACAACTGGATGGGGTTTTCCTTCCTCTTTGTGCTGTGTGCGTGTGCGGCGCTCGTTATTTGTTTTTGGGTAGATGTTACGGGAGGACGCGGCGAGGTGAGGTGGGCGGAGGAGCGGCGAGAGGATTGATGGGTGGCAAGGACTGTATGAAGCCTATTCACGAACTTTTGACGAAATGATACGAACTTGCTCATGAGAATACATGTACCGGTTCCGCCTCGTGATAACATTGAAGGTATATCAGTGAGTTACTGAGCATTACAATAGCTCGCTCCTGAATGAGTCAAGTTTTGAATTGTGAAGATCTGAACCAACAAGTAAGATTATAAGCAAACGGCACTAATCATATCTCCTCCTCCTTGGTGGTGGTGGGCTCCTGGACCTCGAGAATGACCTCGACCTCGACCGGTTGCGGCCGCCACCACCGCCTCTGCCTCCACCGCGCCCACCTCTCCCACGGTCACCCCATCCCCTCCCCCTCGTCGGGGGGGAATCGCTCCTCCTAGGCGGTGGCACCCTCCTGTCTCTGTCAAACTCCCTTCCACCTTCCCTATCCCTATCCCTCCCAAAATCTCCTCCTCCCCGTCCACCACGTCCCCGTCCACCAGGGCCCGGCGCCGGCGCATTTGAGTCCCCACGCCAATGTCCACCTCCACGCCCCGCAGTAGGCGCCACCGCCCCGGTCCACCCTCCATCTCCCCTTCCAGCCCCAGGGCCCGCACCTCCACGCCACCCATTCGCACCTGCACCCCCCAAAGCAGCCCCAGGCCCCGCCGAGCCCTTGATCGCAATCTCCGCCGGCGCCGTGACGCTCTTCGGCAGGAGCACAGCAACGAGCAAAAAGTCGCCAGGTACAAATCTTAGCTCTTCCAGCGTCCTCTCTTCCCTCTCCCTCTCACTGAGCTCCCGCGTTCCCTCGTCTTCCTCCCGGAGGCGGGGGGCTGTGACTCCGAGGGACCCCGGCTCGCCCAGGATGTCGCGCGAGTATACCATGCCCAGGTCTTTTTGGGAGAAGCGGCCTTTTGCGATGGAGTCGGCGTAGACGGTGCGGAAGGAGAAGCGCGCGAGGGGGTGCCGGTATTCTGGGATTGTGGGGGCGGTGTTGCGGAGGGCGGTGAGGACTTCGCGGAGGGTTGCGTCTCTCCTGTAGCATACTCGTTAGCAACGTAGACTCTTGGGCGTTAGGTGTGAGGGGGACAAACCAGGTGAAGAGCTGCTGTTCGTCTGTTGTGGGGAGCGTGCTGTCCTCAAAGAGGCTCAGTCGGTGAAAACTCCCAATTTTCACAAAGGTCCGTATCAGGAATGGCGCCGTCTTGATACATGTCCATTTCAGTAAACATATACTCCCTTTACACATATACACACACCTTTTCACGCACGATGAGAGGCTGCCCAGCGGGCGAAGTCGTCTCCGCGTCCATGTTCGAGTTCGAGTTGGAGAACCGTGTTGATGATGATGCCAAGCAAGACAGGATGTGGTTACGTAAGTGTTTTCACCTCAAGTTTTTGGCTGAACAACCTTGCCTCAAGCTAACGAAAAGCTCACGGCACCGTATTCGAGCCTCTCACCGCTTTTACTTGTCGATCTGCAAATCATAGGCTTCAACAAGAGCTTGAGATGACTGGGGTCTTATTCAGTCCTGAGAACACCTAATTCCCGCGATCCCGTATTCCTGTTCGTTCTGAATCCTGCATAAGTACTTCAAGGCCACTGAGTAGTTCTGATTCAGTGAACTACTCCGTCGTAGCGATACCTCAGAGTATAGCGCATCAAGTTCTCACTATTATTCGGGATTCAGCACCGGGATTGCGGGGCGATTTAGCCCTGCTCAAATGACAACTTGAACGCCACACCCTGAACGTTGGACCCTACGTTGCTCTATGCTCTGCGTGACTATCTTTGGAGTATTTCTATGATAATGTATTCCGATTCCACCTGCCCAACGACTGTGACGAATAATTTCATGTGGTGATTCCTTCCTCGGCTCCTCTCATGCCTCAACGCGACTTGCTTCAAGTTGTAAGTCACCGAGTCGATTTGGGCATCACACCACGTCCGTCCAAGTCTCCTCTCTCATACATGGCTCCGACTTTCGAACTCGGCAAGTCTTACACTTTCCGAAGCCGTCGCCCACCCAGGCCCAGGCCGTCTGTACCTCACCGCGAGCGTGCCAGGTGCCCCTGGTGCGTACATACCTCACGAGCTCACAAGTCTGAAGATCTGATATCTATTCTCCTTCCAGTCACCGTCGAGCCCATCAGGGAGGCCGGATCCCTGCGTCCGGCGTCTCCTCAACCTTCCGCCAGCGTCCACAGCCACTGATTCTGCCGGTCCTTCAATCGACACAGTTCCGCCTCCTACACGGCATACCCGAATCCAACGAATGGCACACAAATGGCAACAACCAGCCTGACAATTTCTGCTTCGAGCTCACTCTCAACCGACGCCGGGTTCGATAAACCCGGCCCAGAGTTAGTTCTAGATCTTTGAGAATCCGCAGAAGCCGCATATCCAGTGCGTAGTGCGTAGTGACTACATGCCACGGTTCCGTTCGTTGTTAATGGGAAGGCAGGGTCATACTGTTCGAGCACAGGGCCCTCGCTGTCAAGGAGGCGGAGGGGAGATTTGTCGTGGTCGCGTCTAAGGACCACGACCCACGATATCCCGAGCCAGAGTGCGGCGGAATGGATCATCGAGCCTGTTGTGGTATGGTCAACATTACCCGGTGCAGTGTGTACTATCCGTTATCCAGAATAAATGACTTGAAAGAACAAGTTTAGAGGGACCGAAGTCGATGGACAGGGTCCTAGTATCTTGAATTTTACATTGGAATTGTAGAGTGTGAGTTCGACAAATTCAAATTCGGGTGCAATCGTTCCGAGTCGTGAGTTGTCCAGGAATTGTACGGTCGAGGTCTCGCAACGTGAATCTTGATGAGGCTTTAGGGTGAGGCTCATGTAAGGGGAAGGTGAAATCGAACGAGATCTTCTTGGATGGATTGCAAGGACGTTGGAGATGTTGTTTGTTCGGTCAATGTGTGCCGCACTGGGCCCTCGAAGTCTGCAGCTTGAAAGTGAATAGGGTGTTGGATGTTCTGGCCATCATGGCACCCCTGCCCGGAACACCCCACAATCGGGTATGGTGTAACGACGCCGCCTCTCATTCGTTATGAAATGGGGTTCGATTCCCCGTACCCGAATTATTGGTATGAGGCTAGCACACCTTTTATCTTAGGCCCACACCATTGTGGGTGAGAAAGTCAGCCTTCGTAGTTCCTCTGATGATTTATTGTATCTCTTTGGAGGCCTAGGGAGGGGCCTCCCGAGGAGACTGGCACAATCATCGTAACTTTTGTGGCGCTCTTGGCTGTCTCGTGCCATTTAGCGCCCAACTCTCTGTGACGAGCAACCTGGTTCTTGTCAATGGAGCCCTCTGTGTTTTACTAGTCAATGCACACCTTTGCGCGGCTCCGGTCTCGAGTCCATGTCTGAGTTCGGTTTGAGCTCCAAATGATAAGATACCAATGTGTTCTCCTGATGTCCTTTCATTCACAGTCGGGTATGGTGTAACGGCTAACATTGCCGCCTCTCATATAGGAATGCTAGCATACTCGTGCGCGGCAGCTCGGGGTTCGATTCCCCGTACCCGAATGAATTTGTACCAATGCAAGTTATTTTTGATATGTTTCCCTGCTTTCTTGTCTCACTGAACAAAGTCTTTGAGTATTATACGGGTGGAAATGGTGTTGTGGCACTTTTGACTGATTTCAGGTAGGTTTTTATTAGGACTACTGGTTCTGACTTGTGAATTGCCAGGCTGCCATGACTTCATCGAAGCGGCAGGCTCGTGCGTCGTCTCGAACGGTCTCAAAAAGATGATACTGATGAACTGCTCCTGGCGATCTTTCTGTCAGTCGGGTATGGTGTAACGGCTAACATTGCCGCCTCTCAGATCTCATGACTCAAAAAGTTCATACCTGGCGCGCGGCAGCTCGGGGTTCGATTCCCCGTACCCGAATCGTTATAAGCAGGAATTGTTTTTTCTTTCCTTTTTCTTACCCCGCCACAAAATCTTTTAATATTACACAGGTGGCACAGCGTTCCATATTTGTATGGTTAATGTGGATGAGTCCCTCGGCGGGGTATTTTGGAACTGGCGCCTGTGTTTCGGCCAGGTATCCACTTGTCGAGTTACGTTGTGTGTCAAAAACTGCCACCGGGGGTTGTAACTACCTCACCCCCGTCACGGTATTCTCCTATGTGCTTCGTCTCGAGTGCACGTTCAAAGTCATGTATAATCTACTCGGTCCTGAGAGCGATGATCATAATGACGCTCTTGACTGGCTTTCATGCACGATCAGGTATGGTGTAACGCCCAACATTGCCGCCTCTCATGCGATGGCAAGGGTTGTGCGCGGCGGCTCGGGGTTCGATTCTCTGTACCCGAACTTATGACCCCCCTCCCGTCACAATTTTTTCTTTCCTCCTCACTTTATGCACTGATCAGAAAGGTGATGAAATCGGTTCATGTGGAGCCCGAGGGGGAGGAGGTATTGTTAGGCGCTTGTGGCGCTTGTGGAAATATATCTTGGACGAGGCTGCGGCGTTTTGCAGGCGTTTTGCAATTGGTCCTCGGACCAGCCGCACCCCATCCAACTTGAAGTTCTGGAATGGTGCCTTCTCAAGTTGCACTGATTGTACTGATTGTTTAATGTACATTGTCACTGGGGCTCCACCGCCGGTCTCTATATACATAACTTACATACATGACTTGCAACCTGGTTCCACGTCACGGATTCATATCCTCAAATGTCATTAAGAGTGACTCCGAGTCTGGTTAATCGGGGACCTGGGGGTGGGAGATAGACGTCGACACCATGCATACTGCCCGCCTTCCCGCGGGAAATGATACCACAAGATCGAGAGTGTACACATTCATTTGTAGACATGGTGAGAAACGAATGCACGCTACCCCAATGGCCCGATTTTCAAAAATTGATCCTGCTTAGTCATCGACGGAAGTTAGTAATGGCATGCGCAGGGGCAGGTGTTTATCCTGACCTGATCATCGCTGCCCTCCCACATCTTGACCCAGCACTTGTCTAGTGACTGGCAGCATACCCGGGACTTCTAGGCCTTATTAACGACCCACCCACTCACTCACTTACTATAGCTTATTGACGACGACCCACATTCTCTGATTCTCACGGGCCTAAGGGCAATTCAATTATACCACGCAATGCCGGAATACGTATATGCATTGCATGATTTCCTCCCAGAGCACGAGGACGAGGTGTCGTTCCATGCTGGCGAGCGTATCGAGGTCGTCGAGAAGGACGATCTGTATGGGGACGGATGGTGGCAGGTGCGTTCTATCGCCCCACGTACTGCATTCAAGTGTTTTATTTTATTTTTATTATCTAGGGCCGCAACCTCGCAGGCAAAGTCGGGCTCTTCCCGCAGAGCTATACAGCGTCTGCACCCCCAGATTCCATAGCGGCGTCCTCCTCGACGGAGTCGGACGCCACGGAGGTGCCTAGTACGGATTTGCGCACGCCGCTCCAGGCACTCCGGGAGGAATCCGAGCTCGAGTCCGAGTCCAACACACCGCAGAACCACAGCAGCGTCATACTCGCGCCCTCCCCTCAGCCCCCAGCAGGTCCCCCCTCTATACTGTTAAATGGAAACGAAACGGACACGGAAGACAAAAACCGGCATGTGCATATACGGACGATATCGAGCGGGGAGGAGGTGATGGCTGCCACTATGACGGACGTGCAGCAGGCGATTGAGCAGCTTGGGCGGCGGCGGACGGAGTCGGTCGGGGATGGGGACGGGGACGAGGCGCGGAGTTTCAGTTTTGCGAGTTCGAGAGGGGGGGAGACGGAGACTGATCATGAGACGGACACGGAGTATGATATGAGCGACGTTGATGGACCTGACACTGCGGGAGAGGGATGGCACAAGGGCGCTAGAACGAAATTGGCGGAGAAAGCGAGGAGGGCGGTGGAGGAGGCAGAGAAGCTTGAAGCGCTTAGTAATGGGATGGGAGGGAGGGGAGTGGCGCCTCCTATAGAAGTTGAGATGAGCGACGAAAGTGAGGGTGAGGAGGACGACTATACGACTCACTCCAGTGTGTTCCCGCGCGCGCATCCCCATATCCCGGAGGAGGAGGAAGAGGAGGAGCATGCTAAGGAGGAGGACCATGTCCTTGCGCCTCCCCGTGACGAGACAGAGGCTCAGACAGCCACTGCTACCCGCTCGTCGTTCCCGGATGCTGTTTTCCACCCACCGCCGACAGAACCAGAGGCCCCCGCTCAACCCAGTCCACCTCCATCTAGACGAAACAGCGCCAGCACCAATGGCAACAACACCAACACCAGCAACGATCGATACCGCGAGTCCCTCATCGCTCTGCCCTCGCCAACAGGGTCCTCCACCCCCGGGTCTGCAGAGCAATCAAAGCACAGCAGTGTCGCCTCTGCTCCCTCTGCGCTTTCTGCTTCGGGTCTGTCATTACCGCCACTCACTGCGTCCTCAGTGCAGACGACCCTCGTGGAGCAGCAGACGGGGAGCAACGACAGCCGCGACGGCCCAAAGGAGAAGGAGAAGACCCATCCGTCCGAGTGGGACGTTCCCGAGGTCGTGGAGTGGCTTAAGGGAAAAGGTTTCGATTTGGACGTGTGTGAGAAGTTCACCGGTGCGGGTCCCGTCGTCTCCTCCATTATTATTATTATTTACGACTCTGCTACAGAACAAGAAATAACAGGCGACGTCCTCCTCGAGCTCGACGTCAACCTCCTCAAGACCGAGCTCGGAATAATGGCATTCGGCAAACGCATGCGCATCGCAAACGCCATCACCGACCTCCGCAGGCCCCCCTCCGTCGTTTACTCCGATCACGCACCCCACCCACACTCCCCCATGCCCGTATCCCCCGCGCACTCCCAGGGGCACTCGCGCCACCAGTCCCAAGCGTATTCGCATCACTCGTTCCCCGGGTCGTTCAGTGGTGTTCCTGCACCTGGACCGGGACCGGGACAGGTGGGCGTAGGACAGGTGTATTTTGGTCCTGGGGCTGGTGGGATGGTGTATAGTCCCGAGACGGGGTACGCGCCGTCCCCGGAACAGGTGTATGCCCAGCATAATGGGATTAACAATGGGAATGGGAATGGAGAGTTATCGCCAGAGCCTCCGCAGATGGGATTGTCGGTGTCGGCGCCTGCGATGAATGGGAAAGGCGCTAATGTGAGTTTGAACACCCTGTTGGATGGGAAAGGAAGTGCTGACATGGTTCGTGTAGGGCCGCCCCGCACACCTTATGCTCTCCCCAAGCGATGGGGCGCTCAAAGCGAGTGCTATGGCTGTGGGGGTCGACAATGTCCCCGAGGAAGAGGAGGAAGACCGTGGTGCTGCGAGCGAGGTTCGTTTCCCCCCTCCCCCTCCCCCTTCTGATTCAGACGCTCATGATATCAACCTGAAGAGCGAGGCAGTCCACTCAACAAGCATGCGCCGCCGGCTCTTCGGGCGCTCCTACGACTCCGCGGGCTCGAAGCTCGACTCCGCCTCGCGCCACTCGAAGGAGGGCTCTGTTAGCGCTTCGGCGTCGCCTGTTTTTGCTGAGTATAAGAAGGACAAGAACGGCGACAAGGACAAGGGTGATAAGGAGAAGGAGAAGGATAGAGACTCCCTGGGATCCCTGCGCCCACGATCGAAGAAGAGCACGGATAGTACTGGCAAGGGCGCTGGCGAGAGATTGAGCATTTTCGGGAGCACGTTCTCTGGCACCCTTGGTAAAGGAAGGAAGCCGCCGCCGAGGTACCCCGCGTGCGTCCCCCTCGTTCTTCCTCTTTTATATCATACTTACTGACTTCACTAAAGTGCAATCGAAGAAACACACATCGAGAAGCCCTCGCACTCCCCCCACTCAATGTTTACCCTCCCCCGGCTCACCAGCAACTCCCGCAAGACGTCCGGGCACGACCGCCCCCCCTCCACCTCCACCACCGGCACCGCAACACCCAAATCCACACCCAAACCCACGCCCAAGTCGGCCTACAAAGAGGCTCCCGTCGGCTCCGCATCCCCCCGGGACCCCGCCCTGCTGCGCAAACGCACATCATCTGCCCCAGCCCCGCCGACGGACGCGAGGTTATTGAGCCCGCTGAAGCAGGGGCAAAGTATCCTGGAGCAGATTGGAGACGCGGATTTCAAGGGGTGGATGAGGAAGAAGGGGGATAGGTATAATAGTTGGAAGTTGAGGTATTTTGTGCTGAAGGGGCCGGATTTGTATTGTCTGAGGAGTAATAGTAATGCGGTGCGTTCTCTCTCTCTCTCTCTCTCCCTTCCCCTCTCCCCCTCTCTCCCCTCTCTTTCTTTCTACTTTTCTTTGTGACAGGGAGGGCAACAATGCTGATTAGCTATGGATACAGGAAACGAAGATCAAAGGCTACGTGAATATTGTGGGGTACAAAGTGACGGTGGACGAGAATGTGAACCCTGGAAGATATGGGTTCAGGATCGAGCATGATAACGACAAGACGCACTATTTCAGTTCTGATGAGAAGAGCGCCATTCGGGACTGGATGAAGGCGATCATGAAGGCCACTATCGGGCGGGATTACACCAGTACGTTCCCCTTCCTTCCCTTTCTTGACGCAGGCCCTGATGACTCTCATACCTCAGAACCCGTAATATCCTCCTGCAACATCCCAACAATCCCTCTAATGGTAGCGCAAGCAATGAACCCCGCCCCGCGCCCGCCCTCCCCCACTGCCCGCGCAGCAACACAAAAAGCCCTCCGCCGCGAAAACACGAATCAGCTCTCGACGCGCGACGCACGTGTACTCATGGGGCTCCCGTCGCCCGAGGAGGGGGGCGAGGAGCGCGCGAGGTTGACGTCGTTCTTTGCGAGTCAGGAGGTAGCGATGGAGGGGGAGCTGGTGAAGACGCCGAGGTCGCCGGTGCCCGCGCGCCCGTCGAGGGAGATGAGGAGGGTTAGTACGGGGCGTCCGGTAC